CAAAACTGGCCACCATAGCACGGGTCACACACGCACTGGCCCAGCGGGCTGCACTCGCCGTGGCCGCTGCATGTCGAGTCACGATCGCACTGGTACTCGCAGCGGTAGCCGGACCAGCCGGCATTGCACACGCACTCGCCCGCAGCGTTGAGGGCGCCGTTGCTGGCCTCGCAAAAGTCTTGAAAGGAGCATGTCAGACCAGCCCAGCCTGCGTTGCATTGGCATTGGCCGGCAACAAGGCTACCGTGGCCGCTGCAGGCGGTATTCACGCATTGCGAGCCGTCGTCGCCGTCGTCATAGGTTGGGCTGCCAGCGACAGAATAGCCCTGTTGGATGTCAATGTTTGCTTCATGGAACGCGGAGGTGAAGACTCGTCCACCGCCACCACCGCCGCCGTAAGTTGGTGTGCAAAGGTAGCAGCTGTGGTAGCCGCCATTACCGCCGCGAGCCTGTGTGTTGCCGTGGCCCTCGAGGTAGTCTGCTTCCAACCAGACGCTTCCACCAGCACCGCCACCGCTGCCGCTATGGCCGGAGCCTCCGTTTGAGGAGGCGCTTCCATCATACTCAAGGCGCGTGGAAGCAATGATTTGCACCGCACCGCCGCCCTCGCTGTATCCTGCCGCAGTGCCGATCACACTCAGGATCAGGCAGATGAGCAGGCAAGCAGCTCGGGCCGTGCACATGGTGGCACACGTCACTGTTGCTGCGTCCTCCTTTTCGTTTTGTCTGCTCGCGCGGTCAGCGCGCGCCCTCTCTTGTTTCTTTCTCTCTTTCTCTCTCTCTCTCTGTCTCTTTGCTGGAGTGGTGTTGCTGTTGTGCGCTGGCACGCGTTGTGTGTGTGTGTGTGTTTGCGTGCACTTCTGAGACGTGTTGTCAGCCAGCCAGCTTCTTCTCGCCAGCCGCACGCACGCTTAGACGCTTGTTGTGGTTTGGTGTGTGTGGTTGAATTGGTCTTTGCAGGCGGGCTGGTGGTCTTCAACTTCTTTGCAGCCAGCGACCCCCTCCGTTCGGGCGTCTTTGCGTGCGCAGTTCGTGCGAAACGTAGCCGCTGGTGTGCTATCCACCGCAAGTTGGAAGCGATGGCGCGGCAAGCAAGCAAGCAAAAGCAAAATTGTTGGGCGAAATTTTTCACGCAAGTTCGCACTGCCTGCCTGCAAGCAAACAATTCAACACGAAAACGGGGGGAGAACGCAGGCAGGGATGCCCTCAGCCTCTCACGTCATATGCAACCTTGCAACCCAATACGGCTCGCACAACTGCAAAACGAAAGCCCTGAAAACTTAAGCTTCACCTGCTTCCGCTACTGCCTTGTGTTCCAAGGCTCGAGAGCGAGCCAGCGTGCATGCAAGCAAAAAACAAGCAAGCAGCGAGCAGCAGCGATGTTTTGTGGCGGCTCAACAGACCTACAGACGTGGGTGTCAGGCCACCCCTTCTGTTTTGTTGCTGGTGCGCTTGTCTCTTTTGTTGTTTCTTCGCTTCTGGCACCGCCCTTCTGTCACGTGCCCAAACATGCTGCGGTGACACCTCTACACCACATCAACACTACGGTGCTATTGTTACCAATCCCCATTCCCTTCCCACCCATTCCTCATCTGTTCCTCTGTTCTGGCTGTGGTCGGTGTGTCAGTCAAATTAGAAGGACAGCAAAACAACAAGTGCATGCATGAAAGCAGCAAACGTGATGATGTAGGAGAACAAATGAGGCGTCAAAGCGCAAATGATGTCAACAGAGAAACGCGATGGAAGAGCTCGAGGGGGAGGGGGGCAGTAAAGAAGGAAGCACGAGACAAAAAACGACAAAGAAAAAGCAAACGCAACAATCCAGATGAAGATGATCACGCCCTTCGGTATGTATGTGAGTTTCCCGAGCTCACCAAGTACCCAAGGCACAAGAAACACCTCAATCTGCTTCAACACTTGCAGAGAGCACACGCTCATTCCAAGTCAACAAACGAAATATGCGATGATGAAGGAACGTGACAATGAAAAGAAGGGACAAAACGAGTGAGAGACGCTCATGTGAATGACCACATGAGATTGCGCACGAGGGGATGTGCACAAAGAAAGAACAACAACACGGAGGATGACTGATTTCATGTAACAAGTCAACCAGAGAAAGGGTGTGAATGAAAGGGCAAGAGCAAGAGCAAGAACAACATGATCAACAAAAGAAGCACAAACACACACACACACACACACACACACACACACACACACACACACACACACACACACACAAATTAGTTTGACCCTGCACCACCGCCTGCGTGGTAAGGGTAACATGCGTGGCCATAAGGATCACCAGCCTCGACACCGCAATACGAATTGCCGTGCTTTCCGCGTCCACCGCGCCCGCCATATGAACCAGCGACGCTGTCACGACAACTGCTGCCACTTGGTGTTGTTGGACCGGTCCTGATAGTGTACCCACGGGCGTTTGTGGACAGGCTCGCTCGCTGGTCAACCTTGGCCTGACGTGTCCAGATGGCAATCGTGGACGCCGTCACGGAGGAAGAATACTGCATGTGCAGCCTGTCTGCATGCAGGACAGTGATGTCCTTCACGCGCTCGAGCGACTTGGTGTTGCCGTTGCTGTTCGTGTCAACAATCGAAGCGCCCTTGTACAGAACCAGGTCCTTGAACATGTAGTTGTTGTCCATCCAGCTCCGCTCCGCGGCCGAGCACGTGCCTTCCAAGCACGTCGTGCGCCCGCCGTTGATGTTCATGCGGGTGCCAGGCAGCAGGTAGAGCGACTGCACGCCAGAGAGCATGCCATGCACGTTGAACGTGTCTCGCACGAAGAACCGCAGCGTGCCCTCCAGCTGGCCGTCAGTATCAACTGTCATGTCCACGGCTGGGTACGACGCCTCAAGCTCGCGCCCGCCAATGTGCACCTCGCGGCCAGACTGCACATACAAGAGCCCAGTCAGGTCACCAGTCACAGACTTGAAGAACGCCGGGGCAGAGGGCGTCGTCTTGGTGCTGAACTGCAAGCGCGCATTGTTCACCATGTGCAGGTGGTCAAAGGTCACCTGGCCTTCATCCAGCACGAACGGATACGTGTTGCGGTTGCGCCCGCGGTTGTCCAGAATGAGCGTGTGGAACGCGTCACCATCGTCAGGGTGCGAGCGCACATACACGGACCCAACACCGCCGTGCTCCGTGTCAGTGTGGCAGCCGCCGTTGTCAGTCGACGCGCCGCCGCACCGTCCACCAAACGCCGTCACAGCACCATCCCATCTGAACTCGTGCGCCGTGATGTGCACCACCACGCGGCCACCAGAGCCTCCACCGGAGTATGCGCCTCCGTTGCCGCCGTTGGCCTGGATCACGCCGTGGCCAGTCAGCCGCTCCGTATTGACGTAGATGCCACCACCAGAACCGCCGCCGCTGTAGCTGCCGCCGTTGCCGCCGTTGGAGGAAATCATCCCGTCCACTTGCAGTCGTCCGCCAACCAGGAGGTTGATCAGGCCGCCACCAGCGCCTGCGTTGGGCCCGCCGCCGCCCGATCCAGGCATGCGGCCCGAGTTCATAAACACAGAGCCGTACACGGAACCAAGGCTGGAGCAGTAGTCACCGCGACCGCCAACGTTGGCATACGCACCACCGCAGCCGCGGTCACCGGTGTCGGAGCTGGCACCCGGGCCCGTGTTGGCGCCGTAGCCGCTGCCATCAGCAACCAGGCGGCCCGTGTGCTCAAAGAACGACTCGCCAATGTTCAGCGTGAGCACCTGCGTGTTGCTGCGCACGAGGCCGCCAAATCGGATGTCAAAGTCGGCCACCTCCACATCCGCGTTGGGCACTTTGATGTTGAGCGTCGCCGTGTTCTTGACCTCTACGGTAGAGAACTTCATGCTGTGCGGGTCCTGCAGGCTGCGGTACGCGTCTTCGGGGTAGAATGACTTGGACGTCTCCACCACCTCGTACTCAATGCCGTGAATCACCACTGTGTCGTTGGATTTCTCCAGGGTCAACAGGGCTGTGTGGCACTGGCCGTCACACACAAACTCGCCGCCGCTCTCAACGTAGAGGTGCTCCACATTGGTCAGGCGCCCTTCAAGGATCAGGTCCTCACCGCGCAAGATGAGGTTGGGCGGCATGAGCAGCTCCGCGTCCTCATCCACGTAGTACGTCACGGGCGCATCGTGCACGTTCTCTGCAGCCACCACCACTTCCACAAAGAAGCGCTGGTTCGACCGCACGCGAATGATGCCAGTGCGATCACCGCGCACCTCGTGGCCCACAATCGTCACATGCTCTTGATCATCGGGGTGGTAGAAGTACAACTTGGCATACCCGTCCACAGTCATCTCGTCAAAGTCGATAAAGTCGCCAGTCGTGTCCATGATGAGCGCCGGCTGAGGCACCACGTTGTTCTCTTGGTCAATGCGCACGTGTCGGTGTGGCGAAACAGGGGCGATCTTCTTCAGCTCGGGGTTGTACTTGAAGAGCGCGTACTGTGGACCGCGGTTGATCTCGTAAGCGTACACCGTACCGGGCCCGCCCTGTGGCAGGCCACCGACGGAGCGCAACGCACCACCAAAGGTGTGGCGGTGGCGGATGTGCACAGCAATGCGTCCGCCTGAGCCGCCAAAGCCGGAGCCATGGCCTGCGCCACCGTTCACGTTGACTTCGCCTTGGCCCGTGAAGTTGGTCGTCTCGATGAAGATGCTGCCACCGCTGCCACCGCCGCCGTTCGAAACAACGCCTTCTGCACCGTTGGCAATCAACACGCCGTCCATCTCGGCCTGCGAGCCGGCGTTCAGGTGAACAACGCCGCCACCCGAGCCGCGCATGCACGGCACGCTGATGATGGCCGCGGCGTTGTTCGAGTAGCAGACAGTCTCCGTCGGGGTGGCGCCAGATGCGATCCCACCGCCGCTACCGTGCAGCAGAGGCTCGTACACCGTGCCATACGGGGTGTGGGCTGTGTTGTCGATGTTGTGGCCACCGCCGTACCCACCATACGAAGCACCGAGGCCACGCCCGTTGGAGCCGTCGTAAAAGCCAGAGCCCGGGCCGGTCTGCGCAGCAAAGCCACGCCCACCAGCGGCCAGGGCACCGCCATACTCGATGGAGAAGAGGGTGGTGTCGATCTTGCCCTCGTTCATCATCATCAAGCCACCGTAGCGAATGAAGATGTCGGTTGCAGAGATGGTGAGATTGTGCTCGATGCGGCTAAACTCCACCTCAGAGTTGCGCTTGATCATGATGATGGGGATGGAGAAGTTGCCTGGCGTTGTGACGTCCACGTACTCCTCGTTCTCCAGCTGCGCCGTGTTGGCCGAGGACGAGAACTCCACGTAAGCGCCGTCGCCCACATGCAGCTGCTCAATGCCCGTGAGCATGCCCTCAAACACGGAGCGCACGCCGAGCAAGTATACCTCCACGGGGAACACAATCTCGCCGCCAACGTCCACCTTGAAGCTGCAGGGCGCCTCTGTCTTGTTGCTGAGCGATTCCACATACTCCACAAACACAATCTGCTGGTCCTGCACGTGCAATTGGCCCGTGCGGTCACCAATGAACTTGTGGATGGTCACATTGACCTGCGTGCCAGGGTGGTAGGCAATGAGGCGTGAGTGGCCCGTGAGCTCCACCTCGTCAAACTCATACGTGTCCGTGCCTTCCTCGCTGATGACCGATGCCCACGGCACGTTGACGCCAATGTTGTCCACATGCAGGTACGTGTGGTCAGCTGTCAGCACCGTCTCCTTGAGCGAGTACGAGTAGCGCACGATGCGGTACTCCAGCGGCCGCAGGTTCTCCTCCACATAGGTCGTGCCCGCTGCGGCTCCGCGCATGTTGACGGGCCCGCCGCGCTGCGGATGCTTGAACGTGTTGGACACAAGCACCTGGTAGCACCAGAGCTTGGCGGTGTTGTCGGAGACGCAGAGCTCCTCGCCGTTGAACACCATGCTGCGGATGGTGACCGCCGTGGAGAAGGAGAAGCCGTCATACTGGCCCGTGGCCAGGTCGTGGCGCGTGATGAGCGTGCCAGAGCCGTAGAAGATCTTGTCGTGCACAATGGCAAAGCCGCCGTACAGGTCAGCGTTGTTGTAGGTGGAGCGGCCGCCCTCCAGTGCAAACGTGCGCAGCATGGCACCGTCAATCACGTCGTATACGTAGATGACTTCGCTGCGGCTGCGCATCACAAACACCTCACGGCCAGACACGGCCACGCCAGAGGCGTACTGCCCAAACTCTTCGTACTGCATGTCGACCTCCCAAATGAGGTCGTTGTCGGGATAGGGCCCGTACTTGCCAATCTTGTTGCCCGTGTGGTCTGCCGTGTAGTAGTAGTTGTCGTCGTCAAACCACAGCTGCATGACGTTGTCTGTGCCCAGCTCAACCGTACCACGGAGCTCAAACGTGTCAGCGTCCACGCGCCACGCAAACGGCTCCGGCCACTTGGGGAACCAGTACTCGTTCAGATGCATGTTGAAGCCGGTACCGTAGCTGCGTGGGTCAAGCGTGCGCTGCGTCAGCGCGGCCGACGTGGTGAACGCCGGGTGCTCGTCAATGCCACCGTAGTCGAGGTACGCGCCGCCAAAGCGGTAGCGGAGCTCGCACAGCACGGCCGCACGGCCACCAGCACCACCAAAGCCGTCAACGCCGCCGGCGCCGCCATGCACGTCAATCGTGCCGTGCCCAGACATGTTGTACGTGCGGATCTGCACGCTGCCACCGGCCCCGCCGCCAGACCGCAAGCCTTGGCCGTTGCCGCCGCGCGCAGACAGGCGGCCGTTCAGCTCCAGGTGGGACTCCACCTCCCAAACGAGGAAGCCGCCACCAGAGCCGCCGGTGCCGAGGCCGTTGCCGCCGCCAGAGCCCCAGTCATCGGGCGCGTACACGCTGTCGCACGCCTGCGTGGCATGCTCCGCGTGGAGCCCGCCACCCTGGCCTCCGTGGGCGGCGCCAGAGCCGTACCCGTCGACCGTGCTGCCTCTGCAGGGCCCAGTCTCGGCCGGGTGGCCGGTCGCGTCAAGGTGCAACACACCTTCGCTCTCGATATTGCCTGTGGCACTGAGGATGGTCGCCTCGTTGGCGAACATGTTGCCATTGAACTGCACATGCAAATGCGCAACCGTGAGCGTGAACGCGTGGCTCTTGATGCGCTGCAGCTCCAGCGTGCCGCCGTACTTGATGGTCAGCGTGCCAAACGTAATGTTGCCAGGCTGTGTCATGTAGATGCGTGTCAGGTTGCCGATCAGCGACGCCGTTTGCGACGATGAGGCAAACTGCAGCGTTGCCCCATCCTCAATGTACATGTCCTCCACGTTGGTGATGAGGCCTTCAAAGACGCTGCGCACGCCGTGCAGGTGCGTCTCGGAGGGGAAGATGATTTCCGAGCCGGCGTCACCGCGGAACGAGCACGGCGCCTCCGTATGGTTCGTCGTGCTCTCCACGTACTCCACCAGAATGAGTTGGTCGTTGCGGACGTGGAACTGGCCAGTCTTGTCGCCAATGAAGCGGTGCACCACCACGGTCACAGGCTCGCCCTGCGGATGGTACGCCAGCATGCGCGAGTATCCAGTCAACTCAAGCTCATCAAACTCGTAATATGTCGTGTTGTCCTCCAGAATGACGGTAGCGCCGGGCACGTTAAAGCCTTCGTTGTCCACGTGTGCATAGAGGCGGTTCACCTCCTCGTACTCTTCACCAGTCACAGGGTCATACTTGAGCTTCTTGTACGACGGCGGCGCACGGTTCTCAGCCACGAAGATGGTGCCTGCCGCTGCGCCAAAGGGGTTCAGGGTGTAGTTCAGGTGCCTGGAGATGCGCTCGGGGTGCACGTCGTCGTAGACGTTCTCGTCAAACACGGCGTAGCAGCGGATGTCGCGTGAGTCGCCGTTGCTGTGCACACACATGTCCTGGCCGTCAAAGTTGAGGCCGTCCACGTTGGAGCCGACGGTGAAGGAGTAGTCGTCGTAGCTGCCGTCCTTCAGGTTGAAGCGGTACACCTGCGAGCCGCTGGCGTAGAACAGCTTCTCCTGCCCAACGGCAAGACCGCCGTGGAGGTTGTTCCAAGACAGCCCGGGCACGTTGTCGAGTGCAAACGTGCGCGCCGTCTCACCATTGTCCTTGTACAGCTCATACACAGTGTTGCTGCCGCGGCGCATGGCGTACACATAGTACTCATCAGAGGCGACCGCGGCCGTGCTGGGGCCAAGACGCACCTCCCACACCACCTGCGGCTCGTGTGGTGGCTCAAAGTACTTGCGCTCCGGAAGTGGCGCAAACTTGGTCACCGTGCTGTCCAGCTGCGAGTTGATGTCGCTCACAGCATACCATGAACCGTCAAAGTCGGTCCAGATCTGTGCAATGTGTGTCTTGGAGCCAGCGCTCACCACGCCGCGGTACTCAAAGTCGCGGTCGTACGTGTAGATGAGGGAGCCCGGCCAGTGCGGGAACCAGTACATGTCGGTCTCGTGGTTGTAGCCGCCACCATACGAGTGTGCACGGTCGATGCGCACCGTCTGCGTTCGGACAGGGTCCTCTGTGAGCGGTTCGGGTTCAAGGCGGTTGCCGCCGCGATCACGCAGGCGACCGCCAAACTTGTACCGCCACTCGCAGTGGACGGCAACACGGCCACCAGCGCCGTCGTAGCCGCGCTTTGTGCCGTGGCCGCCGTTCACAGCAAGCTCGCCGTGGCCCGTAAAGTTTGTGGTTTGGATGAGGATGCTGCCACCAGAGCCGCCGCCCGAGTTCTCGCCAGTTCCATTGCCACCGCGGCACGACAGCGTGCCGTCGACCTCAATGGACACGGCAGAGTCCCAGAACAGCTGGCCGCCGCCGCGGCCGCCGGGAGACACGAGACGTCCGCCCTTGCCGTGGCCGCCGCCGGAGCCGAGCTGCGTGGGCCTGTACATTGAACCGTGCGGCTCACCACCCTTTGGTGACAAGTGGATGGGCACGCCGTTGTCCATGAACGTGTGGTTGCCACCGCCCTCACCACCGTGACCGCCGCCGCTGCCAATGTCGTTGACAGTGACACCGGGAGACGGGCCCATGTACACCTCAAGCCCGCCGGGCCCGCGCGCGTCCAGCGACAGCCGGCCAGTGGCCTCAATGTACGCCGTGGATGAGAAGATGTCGGCGTGATTCATGAGCACCGTGCCGCCGTACTTGATGGTCAGGTCGGCGACGTTGAGGTTCAGCTCAGTCGTGACACGAAGGAACTCAATCTCCGATGCACGGCGAACCGTGACCGTACCAAACGTGAAGTTACCCGGGCTTGTGACCAGCGAGTACGTGCCATTCTCCAGGAACGCCGTGTTGGCTGTGGACGAAAACTGTGACACAGAGCCGTAGAACAGATACAGGTCAATCACGCCTGTCAGCTGGCCCTCAAACACGCTTCGCGTTCCGCGCAGGTACACGGTCGACGGCAGGATGATCTCAGCCCCCTCGTCGATCCAGTAGCTGGCTGGCGCAGTGCTCTCGCCGGGTTCGTTCGCAACATAGTCAACATAGAGCTGCTGGTCTGAACGCAGGTGCAGCCGGCCAGTATTGTCGCCAACAAACTCATGCACAACGGCTGTGATGTTCTCCAAGTGAGAGGGATGGAAGAGCTCAAGGTTCGCGTGTCGCGTCAGCTCCAACTCATCAAACTCAAACACCGTCGAGTTGCCTTCGATCATGAGCGAGTACCACGGGACGAGGTGGTCTTCGGCATCAAACTTGACATAGATGAAGCCAGGCTCAATCGCAATCACGTCACCTTCCTTGCTGTACTTGATGTCGGCGTATTGCGGGCCGCGGTTCGTCTCCTCGCGGTACACGGAGCCAGCGGTGCCGTACGTGTCGCCTTCACCGGGCGCAGCACGGTAGTGGCCGCCAAACTTGTGCGCAAAGTGGCAGTGGATGCCGATGCGCCCACCGCTACCGCCACCACCAAGCTCAACACCACGACCACCGCTCACGTCAATCGTGCCGTGCCCGGTCATGTTGAGTGTCTCCGCGAAGAAGGAGCCGCCAGAGCCGCCACCGGCGTTCTTGCCCTGGCCGTCCTGGCCAAACAGGTGGATAAAGCCGTCCACGTGCAGCTGCAGTTCGGAGCGCCAAACAAGGAAACCGCCACCGCTGCCACCGCGCGATCCAGCCGCACCGGCGCCACCGCCAGAGCCAAGCTCAATGGGCTGCACCACGGAGCCGTATGCCAGGCCGCCAGAGCCAACGCCCTCAATGTACTTGCCGCGCAGGCCAGGGAAACCCGGAACAGACTCGTAGCGCGGCTTCACCACGTGGAAGCCACCGCCCTGGCCGCCGTAGCCAGCGCCGGCGCCGCGGGGCCGGCCGCGCTCGTCCGTGTGGTTCATGCCCGCACCGGGGCCCGTCATCTCGGGGTGGCCGGTGTAGTTGAGGTTGAGGATGCCGCCACCCTCCACCACACCGTAAGAGGTCTCAATGTAGCCGCGGTTCATGAGCACGAGCGACTGGTACTTGATGAGCAAGGACGACGCCTGCAAGGTGAGCGGGTCTGGGATGTTGTCCAGGTCGAGCACGCAGCCCCGCTGCATGGTCATGGTGCCAAACGTCAGGTTCCCTGGTGTGGTCATCCACAGGTACGTCTTGTTGAGTGGCGACCCCTCGAGCATGGCTGTGCGAGACGTGTTTGTGAACACGACGAGCGCGCCCTCCGCTGCGCGGAAGTCCTCAATGTTGGTCACAAGGCCCTCTGCCAGTGTGCGCGTGCCCAGGAAGGTGTTGCGCGTTGGGAAGATGACCTCGGCCGTGGGGTCGATGCGATAGCTGACGGGCGCAATGGACTCCGTCGCCACGCCCTCAACAACCTCGACAAACATCTGCTGCATGCCACGCACGTGCACGCGGCCAGTGCGGTCGCCAACGAACTTGTGGGAGATGATGGTTGACGTGAGGTTGTGGAAGAGCACGGTGACGTGGTGGAAGAGATGCAGCTCGTCAAACTCAAAGTAGCCGTTCTCCTCGTCCGTGACGGCCGTGGCCAGGTGGTGGTTGCGGTTGTCGTTGTCCAGGATGAGCGCAACGTGCGCGTCCTTGAAGCCGACAATCTGGTCGTCGCGCACAATGGGCTCGCGCTGGTCCAGGCCATCGTTCGAGTCCGTGTAGTACACAGTGCCGCCAGCACCGGCCTCGCCAGGGAAGTTGCCTGATGCATTGGAGGGGGCGCCGCCAAAGCCGCCAAATGCCTCGTAGATGCCGGCAAACTCACGCAACCAGCGCACGTGCACGCCGATACGGCCGCCCGCGCCACCGCCGCCGCGGTCCATGCCGCTGCCGCCAGTCGCGTTGATGACACCATGCCCAGCAAACGTCGTGGTCTCAATCCAGATGCTGCCACCAGAGCCGCCGCCAGAGTTGGGGGCAGACGCGTCAGCGCCCATGCTCTCCAGGCTTCCGTCCAAGTGCAATGAGAGGCCGACAAGCACGCGCATGATGCTGCCGCCAACGCCACCGCCAACGCCACCACCGGGGCTGCCGGGGTGGCGCGGGGTCTTGTACGAGCCGTACGCCTGTCCGCCCTTGATGGGGTCCTCCTCAGAACCGAAGATGACGTGCGAGCCGCCGTAGCCACCATGACCGCCGCCCTGGCCAAACAACACGCCATCGGCAGTGATGTTGTCGCCGGCACCGAGCATCTCGGCCTTGAATGGCGCGTCAGGCAGCAGCAGATCCCCAAGCGTTGGGCCACGGGCCGTCGTGGTCAGAACAGAGTCGCCCTCCATGAACGCCTCGTTGACGCGCAGGAACATGCTGGGAGCGCGGATAGAGGAGTCCGCGCGCATAACCAGCTCGCCCACGTCAAGGTCGAGTGGTAGCGGATACTCCACCTCCGCCTCGTACTCCAGCTCCAGCTTGCCGAGGTCAAGCACGCCCGGCGTGGGGGTCGTGACAACCTGCTCACCCTGGACGAGGGCGTTGCTTGCCACGGGCCCAACGACCGCGCGGCGACCCTCCATCAAGCGCAGAGATGTCACGCCCGTGATGAGGCCGCGCCAGTCGAGCGCAACCGCACGTGTGCCGTGCATCTCGGCGTAGTTGGCGAGCCGCAGCTCTGCCTCCTCGTCAATAGGAAGCCGGACACAAACGGGCGCGCGTGGCGGTTTGTGCCGGGCTCGTAGTCAACAAAGTACGTCTCGTTGGCTCGCGCGTGGATGAAGGCGCTGCCGTCGCTCACAAGGCTGCGGATGGACAGGGTCGGCGCAGTGCCACCAGCCTCGTGTGCGGGCGCGACCTCCACCTGTGCCTCGTCAAGCATGCGCAGCTCGTCAAAGGCATACGACGCATTGTTCAGCTCCGTGCGCTGGTGCCGCACCACCCTGGGGTTGCGCTCGCGGAACAAAAACGGCTTGGGCGGCATTGCGTTCTGGCCATCAAGGTACAGGCGCGTGCGGTATTCAGGCAGCACGGCCAGGTCAAGCGGGTCTGTGAGCAGGTCCTCGTACATGACGGTACCAGATCCACCAACATCACCGCCCGTGCGGTTGCTGTAGTGGTACATCTCCTCAGTCGGAATCACAACGCCGTTGCTTTCCGCCTCGGTGTTGAAAACATCAGAGTGGAGCACGCGGTAGCAGTACAGTGGTGCGGACGAGCTTGTGTCGCGGCTGACACACAGGTCGCGGCCGTTGAACGCGAGGGAGACCTGCGACACCGCCGTTGTGAACGACACGCCGCTGTACTCGCCCGTCTCCAGACTGTACCGATACACCTTGTTTGACGCTGCGCGATACACCTCCCCCGCAACCACCACCAGGCCGCCATATGTCGTGGAGCCAAAGTTGTTGGCCCCGGAGAGGGTCAGGGGCGGCTTCTCCGCGCCAGAGGGCTCGTAGAAGCGCACTGTGCTGCCGTCCGCCTTGGAAAGGCGGTGCACAATGGCTGATGTTGGCGTGATGACGTAGACGTAGTCTGCGTCCACAGACACGCCAGCAGCAGTATCAGAGACGCTAACAGACCACTGGCGATACGTGCTCGGCCATGGGCCCCACTTGGACACGGTGTGGTCTTGCCAGTCGGCGGTGTAGTAGTACCTGTCCACATCACCCCACATCTGCATGATGTAGCGCTGTGGCAAGGTGAAGGCGCCAAGGTAGGCGCCATCCTCTGCCTGGTACCGGCGCACTGTCGTCGTTGATGACGTCCAGTCCGGGAACCAGTACTCGTCATCGGGAGGATAGTAGCCAGCGCCATACCTGCCAACACTGAAGGACGTCGAGCTTGCGCCGAGGTACGATGGGTTGGGCACGTGCTGTGGGTTCATCTTGACGCCACCTGCACCAGCCGGGGTCTCACCGCGCCACTCGTTGAAGAGGCGCGTGTGTACGGCAATGCGGCCGCCAGCACCGCTGCCGCCATCGCTGGGGCCAGCGCTGACTGGTGTGGTGTGGCAGGGTGAGCCCAGCGAGCATGTGCCACCGTGTCCACCCTGTGCAGAAACAGTACCGTAGCCTCTGAGGTGCCCGACCTTGATCCAGGCTGCGCCGCCAGAGCCGCCGCCGGAGCCCGTCTCCTCCGCACCAGCGGCGCCGTCAACGATGATGGTGCCTTCAAGGTCAAGCACCTGCGCGACCACCACATGCGCATGGCCACCGCCGCGGCCACCGGGCACAAGCTCCCCGTTCACCAGGCGAGCACCGCCGCGAGAGCCAGCTTGCGTGGGCTCAAACGTGCTGCCAAACGCAGGGCCGCCAGGAAGGCTGCCGTGTGCAAATGCGCCGTGGCCGCCTTGTGTGGCGTAGCCCGCACCTGCGCCCGTTGTGTGGCCTGTTGGTGTGCCAGGACCGTCAATGTCAGGGCCACGGCCAGTCATGTCAAACACCACATCGGGGTCTGTGATGACAGTGGTGGCCTCGAGATCCATAAACTCGCAGGAGACGTACACGTTCCACTTTGCATCCAGCTCGTCCACCTCAAGGTCGAGACCCAAGGGTGGCTGGAGCGTCGTCTTCGACTCAGCACCAAGCTCAAGTGTAGCGAAGGCAAACGTGCCAATTGGTTTTGTGTGAAGAGTGGGGGTTGTTGACGTCTCTGACTTGACATAGAGGGC